TAACAACAAAGAAAACTTCAAACAAGGAGCGAACAACACTTCACAGCGTTCACACCATAACACTACATAATATATTAGATATGACAGGAGAGTTGTGTGTGTGAGAGGTAGAGACAATAAGAAATCAATAAAAGTTCTATATTAAAGTCTGATTAACTCACAGGTTCTTAATGAATATGCACTTTGAAGAGTTTCTTCCTAAAAGTACAAAATACAGCGGGGTGTGCATGCAAATAGAATGATTGTAGCACCTGTGATTTTTTTGTGCAAATTAGGACTAGCCTAATATGTAAGAAATAAAAGACAATGGCACGTGGTGCTACATGAAGCGTTTTACTCCTCTTATACCAAAGCAATTTGCCAGTATTTCTGTTAGTTATTAAACAGTGGCACGTCATACTTTTAATCTTTTTAATCTTTTAAATCTTTTTAATCAATCTCTTTATAGTTGCATTTAGTTCCTGCAGATGTAACCTGTACTTCCCTCTCTTCTTTTCCTCTATCTAATTAAAAATTTCTGTGACATTCCGTGTATCATTATTATTATTTCTTTAAATAACAGTTACAAACTTTGATAGGAAGCAGCTGAATAGATGGTAAAACTTTGTACTTTGTAAATTTTAGCTCTAAAAATGTTAACATTTTGTACGTTTTCCATCCCCTCCTTTTCAGCGTTAATTTATTTTTATAGACTTTAAATAAAAGTATAATTGAACTTAGCTTTTCAACTTTTTTTTTACTCTTTTATTGGCAAAATTATACATTGTATTACATGGTGTGTACCACAGAAATGTCTTCAAATATCGTGATTATCACACTGCCCAGCACAAGTGCAAGTGAATACAACCGAAGAGCTAGTATTAAATTTGTGGAAGTACATTTTTGCCAGTTGAAGACAAAACAAAAACAAAAATGTTCATAAAATTATAACATGACTGCATCAAGCTTTCAAATGAGATATTCTCTATATGTTTGCATCTCTAATGCAGTTAATGGCCTCTGATAAGGTTTTCTTTACATGTAACCTATGACTACTACACACAATTTATCATATTTCACACACTAATTAGTCCACTGTTAATTGTTACTGATTGTTACTGAGTTGATAGTTGCACAGTATCTCAAACTTTTTGTTGTTTGAGAAATTGAACTGTCTCTGCACACACGATACTGACTGTATGTATTAAGTGCAAAAGTCATAGTGAAAGACCATAGCAGTGGTCAGAACACAGACAGACAGGGTTAATGTAGGCAGATCCACATCCATCCATGGATCAATATTGATGCAAAGATAAGCACCAGAGGACAGCTAAAAGATTTAAAACTAAACCAAAAAAAGAGAAAAATAAAAACAACTTCAAACTCTATTGCACAAGCTTCGAGAGAAATAGAAATAAATGCACAGGGAACAAAGCTCAGACTTGTAGGATTCATATTTAAGGTTTCAAGGAAAAAAAAAAACAGGTGTTCATGACAATAGTATACTGTATACGTTCTGTAAATCCTAAACCTTTTGAATAGCATTAATGAATGGCATTTATTTATTTATTTATTTATTATTATGAATTCTTGCTAGTGCACTAAAGCGTTTGAACCGTTATTATTATTATTATTATTATTATTATTATTATTATTATTTCCTCAGTATACATGGAGTTAGCACTTAATTAGGTACAACTTATTGGCCATTTTTTCAGGTAAACGTATTATACAGTTCACTAGCTATGACAATGACAGTCATTTAAATGGAGTAGAAGTTTTGTGACTGGAACTGATGATCCTGAAGTCTAGAGAACAATGAACAGAAATCGTGCGTGAAATAAAAGGAGTCATAGACTCTAATTGTACTAAGAAGGCTAATTTGTCTAATACTGCAGCCACTAAGTGTATAGTGTTTTATAGTGTGCATAATATGTAAGGAATAAACCACTTTGGGATGTGCTGTTATGGGAGAATAATCAAGAATTAGGTGTGGTGTTGTTACCAATCCAGAGTTGATTATCTTGCAATAACGGCATGTTACGAAGTGTTGCATTCCTCTTACGTACTTAATACTACTATATCAGTGTCAGTGTGTTGAGAATGTCCACATGATACGTCAGTGCCGTGGTGGCCTTTTTCCATTAACATAAGGATTACAAGCTGGCAGGTGACTTGGTTTCCTGTAAAATGACTTTATGAAACATGTCTACTGTAAAGGATGCTAAATAGAAATGAACAGAATTATATGTAACTGTGTAAAACTGCTTGTATGATGTGTTAATTGAAAGCACAGAGAATGGTAACTGGGATTGATTCCCATTTTTTGATTTTAAGTCTCGTGGTACTGCGTGGAGTTATGTGGGTATGAACATTAGCCTGATGTCAGCATTTTATCACCAGGAATATTGGCACGTGTATCACAAGGTCAGTGTGTTTTATTAGGGTTTATCCATTATTCAACAATTGATGCGCTTATCGATAGCAGGGGTTGAGTAACAGGTCGACAAGGTCAGTGAAGGCAAAGCTATGTGAGTTTATATCAGTGGCCTTGGAGCGCTTGGGACATTTTCACACTCGGTCTGAATTCTCATGTTCGAACCCAGGATTGATTCTAGGTTGTTTGCTGAAGAGTTTGGTTTGGGAAAGCCTTTCAGTCGAAGCTGCTTGTTTATAGCCTGTATAGATATAACCATGTTTTTTGATGTGATTACTCGCATTGTAATGATTTCCTCACTCAGTTTATTTGGAAGGCAGTTTATTTACTTAAAAAACTTAAAAAACAGCATTTTTGCCTGTCCCAGCCCACTAGAACTACACTTTACCTTGAAATAGAGTTAACATTTTTATTTTTTACATTAATATGTGAATTTAACACCTCAGGCTTGAAACAACAGGCTTGAAGTATTTGGAATATTCCACAAGTGATATGCTCACCAGGAAGTTGCACTGCCTGAATTTCCTGGGGATCCTGTGAAGAAGAAAAGTACATTTGTTATTTTCAGTGATGATATGATATTCGCCGAGTAGTTCACTTTGAAAATACAACATTGTTATCCAAATTATACATTAAAAGTAACTTATTAATAAATATTTTTTAAAGTAAGTCCTTAATGTCCTCTTGCAAGAAAAAAAAACTCACCTCTGATACTCATTGAAGTGATACTCATCGCAATCATACTGTAGAATCCCACAATAACCTCCTGAAAGTGTTTTGTGGTGGGAAATATTAGAATGTGACCATCGCTACCCCATGCGTCTGTTATTATTGATACAGTGGAAAATGTAGCATGCAGGACGAGTGAACGTAAATAACATAGGCCGGTCTGCTGCAGAATTCGAGCACTAATTAATTGGCTTCATCTTGTATGGCGTGGCATGCAGTACACTTTGTAAGGCTGATGTTATTGCAGTTTTCAGTGAGCTTTAGTCATAAACATAAGCAGACAAGTGCAGTGTACATGGAGAAAGTCTGCAGTGGCCTTCACTCTTCTCTCGTACCACATTAGATGGGTTTATTTATGTTGAAATGGGCATTGGAGGACGTGTGTGTGATATGAGAATGGAAATGAACGAGGGAGTGTGTAAGGAATGAGGCTATAAAGTAGCGCTAGGGCTGATATAAATCCAGACAGGTTCACTGCAGGGACTCTCTCTTTTTCTCTGCTTGTCGTACTCTTTCTTTTTCTCTGCCTGTCATTCCTACTCGAATCTCTCTCTAGCTATCTTTCTCTCACGCTTACACAGCCACACACACACACACACACACACACACACACATATATAGCTGTAATGTATTTTGCCCAGCGGTCCTCTATCTATAATTGCCGGGCTTTTCAACTCTGACCCGTGGCTGCTGGCATGTGTTAATTCACACTCGTTGCAGACAGACCCTCTGGGGCATGCGAGTGTGTGTGTGTGTGTGTGTGTGTGTGTGTGTGTGCTTTTTTGTTGGCGACAGAAGCTTCAGAGACACAACAAAAAGGCAGTGTGTAAGCCAAAGTGGCTTTGTCTGTCAGGGCCACCGGCATCTGAAAGGGTCAGTGAAGGAAGTGAATTAATGAGTGCAGCGCTCTCTCTCTCTCTCTCTCTCTCTCTCTCTCTCTCTCTCTTTCTTTCCCTCTTGTCCTTTTTTTGTTGTTGCTGGACTGATAATCCTCCTTTCTTCCATCCTGCTGTCTTTTCTTTCAGATCGGCCGGCAGTGTGGACAGATTATTTCCATGGTCTTTCTTTGCTTTTTGAAGACGTTTATAACCCTTTTTTTTTTTTTTTATCAGTTTGTCGCACAAAAACATACACATTAGAGCTCTTTGAACAAAAATTTCACACTTTAAATGCTGTTCGTTTTCCTGCTGGAGAGAAAAATATCCAAATTCAAAGGTTTAATAACTTATTTAAGTTGTTAGTCTTTTGAAACATAATTCCTAAACTCTTTTTATTTTCATCATTTATGAGCTTGACTTATAGGTTTATACAATATTAATGCGTATGTTTCTAATATGTTATTGTTTCTATAGTAACAGCTTGTACGTGATCTTGTATGGCGGACGGTCCACGTAAAAATGATTGAAAGTGTATGTTTGTTGAGGTGCTGAAATTTCTGTTTATTTAGCATTTATGGAAGGAGTCTCCAGTCGCAGTGCTTTGTAACAATCTGAGGTAAAGCTGTAACTTTACGTTTTCCACCATGGGAAAGTCTTCAGGACAGACAGTTTTGTGCTTTGTGGTTTCTCAATGACACGACAAGGTACGTTTTTATCTTATTACCTTCAAGAAAGTGAGAAAAAGAGACGCTGGTGATGGCACGACTGTTTATAGCCGCTTTAATGTAAGTAGTTGTTGTTCCTCTTTTGGCTGCTCTCGTTAGGGGTCACCACAGCGGATCGTTGGTCCACGTATTTGATTTGGCACAGTTTTTATTCCGGATGCCCTTCCTGACGTAACCCTCCCCAATTTTATCTGGGCTTGGGACCGGCACCGAGAGCGCACTGTTGCATGCAACCCCAGTGGCTGGGGTCGGTTCCCTGGCCGGGAATCGAACCCAGGCCACAGCGGTGACAGCACTGTGGCCTAACCACTAGTCCTCCAGGGAGCCAGCCGCTATAATGTAAGTGGACTTCCAAAATGGAGAAAAAGAATGAGGAAGTAAAAATTGTAATCACTGACGGATTGCTGTGGTTATAAGAGGAATAAAACAAACACCGCCCTTTTGTTGTCGTTTTCCTCTAACAGCACAGTGTTTTATTCCTTAGTTAACTTAAATAAATGCATTTGAAAAAGTAATGGCAGCTTACTTAAATAAACCTAGCTTTATTCCTTTAATTCTTGCCATTTCATTCCAGAAATAATGAACGGACTTCCATGGAATTGAAACGTTGCCCAGTTTACTGGCTCATTAAGGGGCAGAGGGCGAGTGTGTGGAGTGTAATGGTATGTGATGTGGCCAGGCTTGGCTTTGTGCGAGAGACAATGTCAGTGTGTGTGCATTAGAGTGAGAGAGAAAAAGAGTATTTGTGTGAGGAACTGTGCATGTGTGTGTGTGTGTGTGTGTGTATGCGCGTGTGTGCGTGCACGGAGATGCTTCTGATTATTCCGGAGTTCTGCGTAGTGGCTTGGTGGATACCAGGAAAGGGGAAAGACAGATATTTACCAATTCTCTCTCTTTTGCTGTCTCTCTGTCTCTCTCAGTGGCGCATAAGCTGCAGTCTAACTTCATGCCACAGTGAGGACTAATGAGGCAGCGAGTGTGAGGCTCGGAGTGTGTTTGTGTGTATGTTCGGAAGGAAGGAAGTGTTAATGCCAGGTCGAAGAGCGAAGCAAAAAATTTAAACATCTCTAATTAAAAGTCTCTTTGGTTTTTAAAAAGAGGTACTTTTAGTTTTACTGTGTGTGTGTGTGTGTGTGTGTCTAGGACTCCATTTGTATGGTGGGCTGATAGCACATAGGCTAAAGTGGTAGAGGTCTCACACGTTTTACATTTACACTCATCAAAAACTGTGATTGAGAATGCTGCTGCAGAGGAGGTGTGTGTGTGAGAGAGAGAGAGAGAGAGGGAGAGAGCATGTGTGGGTGATAGATAGGGATTGATATCTTAATGTATTTAGCGACCATTGGTGTCATTTGAATCCTGTGCAGCGCTCCTGTCCTCATCACATTTCATATCTGCCAGCATCATCTGTTAGGCCCCACACACACACACACACGCACGCACTGAAGCACCTCCACCTGCTCCTCAAACACCCAGACTGTTCACTAATGAAAACCGTGGAATGTTATATATTCTATGGGTTTATTGGAACACAGCCTCAGTTTTAGCTCACTTGATTTGAGAGCCATTTGCATTCTGCACTTGCGACAAAGTGCACTTGATCAAACTGAGTCTCCTGTTCGAAAAATCACTTAAAAACATCACTTAACCTACATTGTTGTTGCTGCCAAGGTCAGTAGGATTCTGACTAAAAAGTCTGCTCTTCCATTGCACCCTCCTCCCCTTGCCAAGTGATTAGGGGAAGTGTTTAAAGTTGTACTGTAACACGGGTCCTGTCTCATTAAACTCTAATTAAGTTCTCTGAGTCCTGGTCATTTGTCTAAGCTTTCACAGCTGTCCCTTTTCACTTCCTGACCTTCTTGAACTTTGAACTCTTGCTGTTTGTATTCTCTGATCCTACAATGTCCAGCGCTCCCTCTCTCTCTTTCTCTCTCTCTCTTTCTTTCTTTTTTTCACACCCTCGCTCTCTCACCTCTTCTCCTGCATGACTCCATTCTCACCTTGCTGTGGCTATTAGCATCCTGAAGAGAGAAAGATTGAGTAGAATGAAGAACATATGCTGCTCTGTGAGGCTCAGCTCTACGTCGTGTGTAGGCACACACACACACACACACACACACACACGCACAGAGTTAAAGAAGTTCTAATTTTAACCTGCACCAGCTGCTTACCTTTTCACAGCTCTGTTGTAGTGCAGCAGATGCAGGTGTGTGTGTGTGTGGGTGTGGGTGGGTGGTAGAGAGAGAGAGACACACACACACACACACTCACACAAACACACATGGGATTGAAATGGCTTTTTACCTAGACACAAAGAGACTCCGGTGCTACCAAAAGATGGAGCATTTATTATGATCATTACTAGACACGCCTGATTTCTGACAGCAAGATCTGTCTCTCTGTCATGCTTGCACACACACACACACACACACACACACACACACACACACACAGATGATGTCAGCTTGAAGGTTACCACAACAGAAGCTTTCTGTTCCTGTGTAGCAGTGTTTCCACCTGCTTTTATGCAAATTTAAAATTTTAAAAGAATGCCTGAATGGAAACAACAAACAAGCAAATAAAAAAAGACGCCTACATCTCACAAAATAAACAGCTTGGTGGAAGGTTGGAAAGTTAGCACACACTGATAAAGAGAACACGTAAGGAAGTAAGGGATAAAGCATGACAGGAAAATGATCAGCGATGGTGTGGTGTGATGGCGTTACAAGCTGATTGATCATTTCGCTATTATTTTGTTCTCCTAAGAGTTTTAATTCCTCTTATACCACAGCAGTTTGCCAGCGATGACAACTTTCTATTTCTGTTCATTAAAGAATGACAAATCATACTTTTTTTATCCATTTATAGTTACATTTAATGTTGTGGAATGTTCATGAAACAAGTTAGTTTATCACTTATGTTACAGCAGCTATAAACAGTTGTTCCTTCCCTCAGCATTTTTACCCCCCTTTTTTTGCTTTCAATCCATCAACACACACACACACACACACACACACACACGCGTGCGCACACATGCCCGGATACGTTCATACACATGGTCAGATACACATTCTGTGGTTTCCATAGCGATGCTGTCAGCTTGGTAGGACTTGATATGATCCGTGACATGCTCTTTGAGAGAGCTGAACACAAACAGAATGCTCGTCAGTAGCCTGGTGCTTGCTCTTTGTTTCTTCTCCTCACATTCATTTTTTTCCTTTTTCTTGCATTCCTGCCCTGTCTCACCCTGTCAATCTGAGAACAAGATCTTAGCCAAGGCTGGGGTTTTATCTCTGTTTGACCAGTTCTTGTGCTCTCTCTCTCTCTCTCTCTCTCTCTCTCTCTCTCTCCCTCTCTCTCTCTGTCCCCCTTTCTATATCTGTCTCTCTTTGTGTCTCATGTATTCAGCTTGGTTTGTGTTCAAGGCAGGTCAGTGGATCCCCATCTGTGTTGAGCATCTCTGCCTGTAATAGCTGTTTTTTTTTCAAAATTTTGAATTCACACTTAAAGTGTAAATCCAAAAAAAATTCTTTTAAATTGTTCCCAATGTAGCATACATGCTAGTTCTCAATGTAGCAATCATTATATGTTCTGTCATTGGTCTGTTGCCCCATTGTGTTCACCTATTCTATGTTCTTGATTCATTTTTCTATTTTGCTAAGTTGGTTTTGTTTATACATTATCCAATTTTATTTGACAGCTCTGTTGAATTCTCAATTCTGATTGGTCAGAAGGTGATGTTTATATATATTTTTATAACAGCAGCTTTAACAGTAGTGCTGGCTGCGAAGCAGATCGCAGGTTTCTATTAATGCGCATGTTCTAATACTTGTCCCTATAGTAATCTACATAATCTAAGGCTAATGATAAACAGATTAAAGAGTCTTGTAATCATTGATATGCTGAAGCTCTTTGAGGAGATGTTTATGTAACCTTTATGGAAGGAGTTTCCATTGTAAGCGGCTTGTAAGTTTTCCACCACAGGAAAGTCCTCAGGACAGAGAACTTTGCAAGAGAGAAAAAAGAGAGGCGGGTGTGGGAGCGATTGTTTATAGCTGCTATAACATAAGTGATAACAGGAACTACCTTGTCAGACAAACGTTAAATGTAACTATAAACGGATAAAACAGCATGCCCTGTTGTGTTTTATTCCTTGCTTATTGCTGCCTTTCTATATATTCACTGACACTGTGGACTATGATTGTTGGATTCACTCTAATAAAGCACACGCTGAAAGCACAAGCAGAGGTCATTCTCCCTATTGTCAGGAGTTCAAATTCCGTCTGTACTTTAGCTGACTGTGGCCAAGAGTCCAAGAGAGCGTAATTGGTCTACCTATCTCTCCCGTCAATCTCTGCTGTCTGTGAGCTGGTGGATACTGAAGAGGGCAGTTAGTGCTGTCCTCCCAGTTTATCTGACTTGAGACGTTACATGAGCAGCAGTTTGATAAGATGCTGAGTCTGGCTCTGTGTGCAAGCCTTTAGCCACCCCAGGTTAGTAGATGTGGTGGGTAGCTAAGACCTGACAATGACTAAATTAGCAGTAAATATGTAAGTATATATTTGTCGGTCTGGAAAACCTGATGGATGTCACTGTGACTGGAAATAATAATATACTTTGACATCTCTGTGTTAAGAAAGCATAAATATATTTTACCAAAACAACATGGTAATGTTTTTATTTAGTCTACTTTCCAACCTTGCCTTGTTGTCTGTCTTTAAAGCTCATGATGGTTAAGGAGCCAGTTTAATAAACACACCGGGAAAAAGTCAGTCTGACTAAAGATGTCTAAAAGCTTGCTAGCTAATTGTATTTTTTTCACGATTTAATCAAGTTTTTTGCCATAACAAAACAGACACAAGCTAAATCAATTCAGTTTGCAATCAGATACTGAATCTTAAAATGTCACATCATCATCAAGACAGAGAAGAGCACTTAGACATTCTCTATAAATGACAAATAAGGGGTTAAAAAAAGAGTTTCCCACAAATTTCCTATTAGTTGCAGCTTTTTTGATGTCCACCCATTAGTTTCTCCTCTTTAATATATTTGCCTTAGCTACCCGTGTGGTACACCAGAAAGCGTTCACAATATCATCAAGAGTTCATCAGTTCGAATTCCAATGATGCCAAGGGAGTAAAATTGTGCTGTGCTCTCTGGGTGGGAGGGATAGCAATACTCTCTGTCCCCTGTCAATCACAGCAACACTAGCCAATCATGGGTGTCTGTGAGCTCATGTATGCGGAAGACGGCGGATAGCGCTTTCCTTCAAGTGTGTTATGTTGCCCTGTGTTGCAACATGAGCAGCAGTTTGAAAAGATGCT